TTATCGCATATCATCAATATCCCTTTCTTGATGATCATTGATTGGGGCTATTTTAGGACTTTATGTTATATCATATAAGCTCCCACTTACTTATTGACAACATAAGTCCAAGGGAACACAATTATGAATAAGATAAACTAGTTTCCCAATCACAATGAAAGTGTTCTTCATTAATGAGTTCTAATCCTAACAGGACCAATACTCCTTATTAATGATTCAATTAATTAAACAAAACAAAAATAACCAACAATAAGAGTAAAGTGGGCTTGGACGCCACTTTTACTCATGATCATTATTTATTTTTATTTTCTCTTTTCTTTTAATCCTAAATTATAAAGAAAAGTACCAACTTTATTTAATTAAAAATACATCTTAATTAAGTACAATAAATCCAATTTATTCCACTTAATTAATTCTATCAAATAGAACTCTCCTTCAACTTCATGAATTAAATATGTTTAATTTAATTAATATTTAATCCATTTTCAGTATTACTAATTAAATATTATTTAATCCAATTAATAATATTTAATTCCTTCTAACAATTCAATCGGAAGGTATAATCACTTGTTGTGTGACCCATAGGGCCTTATATATTAAGCACTAATCGAATTAAGGTCTTAGTAGAATCCCTAGACGATTTACCAGACAATCTTAATATATAAGGACGTTTGCGAGGACTATTCAAACTCCCTGTAATATAGAGCTCTTAGTGATACGGTCCTTTCATTCAGCGAACATTCAACTAAGTCTAGAACTTGATATTGTGTCTATTCCAATAACTTAGTCTCTATCTCTCAATCTTTCTAGATGATCCATAATGATCATATTCGATATCCAAAACGAATATATCTTTGCATTGGCCAATAACTTTATGATCCATCTAGATATGAGAAGTAGAATGTTCTCTCTTAATCTATTACGAGGAATGAATCCTTTCTTGGCTCAACCACTACTCCATGTGCTTCGTGATGCACCCAACGCATGCCGTATCTACCCCGACTGGAGTGCAAGCATTGGTCATGGTCAAAGTACATCACTCCGCACATGTAGTACGTATTGACCTCAAGTCGGAGGACTATTACACTACTCTATACGCCGATAATCCCATAGACACACGAATAGAACTTATCAAATGGTTTCTCGGTGGGTATGCCAATATTCTCTAAAATATCTATGTGACCATCATGAATTACAGGAACTCATAGTTGTGAGATCAACTATACTTTCTAAAAGTATGATGCAGTCCACATACCAATCTTATCACATATCATCAATATCCCATTCTTGATGATCATTGATTGGGGCTATTTTAGGACCTTATGTTATATCATATAAGCTCCCACTTACTTATTGACAACATAAGTCCAAGGGAACACAATTATGAATAAGATATTGACAATCGAAATACTTAATCATCAATGTGTAATACCGTATATATCAAATATATAAAATTGAATGTGATCAAGTACATATATCTCTAAAAAGCGATTGTCGTTAGGACATATATACTAACAGCAGCTACATTGAGATCAATTGGAAGAAAATTGGTAGGCGTATCTTGTTGTAGGACATTAATCGCAGGTGACTTGGAAGAAACATTGACAGCAAATGCAGAATCCTCACATGACATTTGTTGATTAACACAAGAATCGATAGTAAACAATTCAACACACAAAGGAAACTTAGCATAGTCACTCTCAATATTTTTTAAAGCCAAGTAAAATCTCAAGCTAGAATCATCATTAACAAGCACAGGAGGTGGACATGCATCTACGAGGTATGAAATCCTAAGCCTTGTATTGGTAACAGATTCACCGATGCATGAATAAACCATACAAGTAAAGTCATTATATAATGTCCCCTCAGGTACTATTTGTTGGTATATATGTCCTAGCGACAATCACCTTTTAGAGATATATGTACTTGATCACATTCAGTTTTATATATTTGATATATACGGTATTACACATTGATGATTAAGTATTTCGATTGTCAATATCTTATTCATAATTGTGTTCCCTTGGACTTATGTTGTCAATAAGTAAGTGGGAGCTTATATGATATAACATAAAGTCCTAAAATAGCCCCAATCAATGATCATCAAGAAAGGGATATTGATGATATGCGATAAGATTGGTATGTGGACTGCATCATACTTTTAGAAAGTATAGTTGATCTCACAACTATGAGTTCCTGTAATTCATGATGGTCACATAAATATTTTAGAGAATATTGGCATACCCACCGAGAAACCATTTGATAAGTTCTATTCATGTGTCTATGGAATTATCGGCGTATAGAGTAGTGTAATAGTCCTCCGACTTGAGGTCAATACGTACTACATGTGCGGAGTGATGTACTTTGACCATGACCAATGCTTGCACTCCAGTCGGGGTAGATACGGCATGCGTTGGGTGCATCACGAAGCACATGGAGTAGTGGTTGAGCCAAGAAAGGATTCATTCCTCGTAATAGATTAAGAGAGAACATTCTACTTCTCATATCTAGATGGATCATAAAGTTATTGGCCAATGCAAAGATATATTCGTTTTGGATATCGAATATGATCATTATGGATCATCTAGAAAGATTGAGAGATAGAGACTAAGTTATTGGAATAGACACAATATCAAGTTCTAGACTTAGTTGAATGTTCGCTGAATGAAAGGACCGTATCACTAAGAGCTCTATATTACAGGGAGTTTGAATAGTCCTCGCAAACGTCCTTATATATTAAGATTGTCTGGTAAATCGTCTAGGGATTCTACTAAGACCTTAATTCGATTAGTGCTTAATATATAAGGCCCTATGGGTCACACAACAAGTGATTATACCTTCCGATTGAATTGTTAGAAGGAATTAAATATTATTAATTGGATTAAATAATATTTAATTAGTAATACTGAAAATGGATTAAATATTAATTAAATTAAACATATTTAATTCATGAAGTTGAAGGAGAGTTCTATTTGATAGAATTAATTAAGTGGAATAAATTGGATTTATTGTACTTAATTAAGATGTATTTTTAATTAAATAAAGTTGGTACTTTTCTTTATAATTTAGGATTAAAAGAAAAGAGAAAATAAAAATAAATAATGATCATGAGTAAAAGTGGCGTCCAAGCCCACTTTACTCTTATTGTTGGTTATTTTTGTTTTGTTTAATTAATTGAATCATTAATAAGGAGTATTGGTCCTGTTAGGATTAGAACTCATTAATGAAGAACACTTTCATTGTGATTGGGAAACTAGTTTAGAACTAGTATAAATACACCATCCTCCTTCATAATTAAGAGACCAGTTTTCAGATTCAGTATTACCAGTCTATTTCCCTGCGAAGAGATTTCCTAGCCTTTCTCTTAGGGAGATCTAACCGTTCTTTCAGAAAGGAGAAATCACGTGGATACCAAAGGTCAAGGATTATCATCGCTAGGCTGGAAGATCTGTAAGTTCTAACTCAGATCTGTTATTATTATCATATTCGTTATTTTGTCATAATCAGGGAAGATCTGTTTGGGAAAATTTTAAACTTCCGCTGCCGTACTTTCGAGGTACGTTACATCAATTTCCTAACAGTGGTATCAGAGCCAAACTGATTCTAATGACATTATACGAATTTTTATTGATATTTTCGTGGGTATTGTGTATACGATTTTCAGAATATGCAATGGCCCTAGTTTTAATTTTAGAAATTTCGTAATTGTTGTTTTCGAAACAAACTTGAAAATCTGATTTTGATCGAGATTAATGTTGTCAAGTTTCTCAACTACGTAGCCTGGCCGCAGTTAATTACCGAGTGGAAGAATTTTTTGTTTTTTGTTTTGGAATTTCTTCCATATTAAATTAGATGGTTTTATTTTAAGAATAAAATCAATGTTAAAATTGAAATTAATGAGAATAGTCGTAAAAGGCAGGTCATAGTTCTCCCTTTACTGTGTTGCAAAGTTTTTTTGAGAAATTAATATGTGGAAGAACTAAGATTGGATACGTTTCAATCTGCCCTGGTTTTATTTCTCGTTCTTTGTTAATTGAATTGAACGATTGACGATGGCGGATGATTTCAACGGCGATAACTGCCTTCGGAGGAGCTGCTTCCGGCGAGTTCCACGACGAATTTGATTTTCCGTTGCATCTGTGAACGCCTCTTCCATCAAAGAAGAGAGAGAGAACAACTCAGATTCGCAAGTAGCTGAATTTCATCCGACGGATTAGGAGGATCTTGTGCGGTCGCGTGGCTGCATCCGTGAATCCTGCTATACGTTTCCCCTATTTTGAGGACATGTTCTGGGTCCGTTTTTGAGAAATAGACCAAGTGAATAATTATAATTACGTATTAAAATTAATCTTGTTTTAACTATTGTTAATTATCTTTGTGATTTAGATGGATTACTTTTAATCGTTAATTGTATTATTATTGGCATGCTTTTACTTTAATGTTTGACTATTACAAGTTTGAATTAGATTCGGATTGCATGCTTTAAATTATCTGTCTGAGTTAAATCTCATCAACATATTATTTGATAGTATGTTTTAAGCATCTTGATTAAGTTTATTTAATATCCCGCTAAACGTTCCCCATAAATTAAAATTTAAGTTTTATCTGGGATAATGACATCACCCATCATAATTAAATTAGTAGAAATATTTTTTCGTTGAAGAATATTTCACCCAAGTGTTTATTCCATTCGACAAAATATAGAACTAATTTATAGGTACAATTGTTTGTGATCGTGTGATGGTTTTGACTTACCTAAATTAGCTCGAGTCGCCCAAGCGTCAGTGTTAATTTAGGGATGTCGATCAATTAAAAATTGATCAACCAAGAATTGCTTGGACGCAATTGGTCTAGGGACCTACCCATTATATTATTGCAGTGATCAGCCCAAGCTGGGACTGTAATAGTATGAATGTGGATCTTGGCCACTATGATTGTGAAAACAATCCATATTCTTTTTATTGGGGTCAAAGAGCATGTAAAAATAGTGGGAGCTAAATAATTAAAAGTCCATATTATTTAGTTAACTAGAAGTGATCATAGGAATTAATATATGATTTTAATTTCGTTCTATTTGAACTTCTTTAGGCTTTTAGGTATGTCGAATTTATGATTGAGAAGTATCCTGGATACATGCAAGCTTACTGGACCAAACTTTCTTGACTGGGAAAGAAATGTGCGTTTAGTTCTTAGACAAGAAAATATTGAGTATGTGTTAGACACACCGATACCCAAGATTCCTGATGCCAACTCTCCTGAGTTTGTCACGTTTGACCTGACTGCTCGAGAGAAACACGTCACTGATGCTAAAACTGTGCAATGTGTTATGTTGGCTGCAATGTCTATGGAGTTGCAAAGGCAACACGATAGGATGAGCGCCTTCGAGATGCTTGAACACTTGAAAAGTCTGTTTGATTCAGAAAGTCAGACTCTAGAGTATGAACTTCTGACAGACATTTTCAAGTGTAGGCTTCAAGAGGGTGGCAACGTGTCTGAGCACGTCCTCAAAATGATTGGCTTAATTGAAAGAGTTGCTACCACCGGAGTTAAGTTTGAGGATCGTGTCTCAGCTGCTATCATCCTATATTCGCTTCCGAGTTCATTTACTAACTTCATTGTGAATTATAATTTGAACAAAACGAAAGCGACCATGCCTGAACTCCATAACATGCTCAAGTCTTATGAAGCCTCAACCTCTAAAGGAAAGACTGTTCTTATGGTAAGCTCTAATGCTAAATCTCGTTCTAAGAACAAGAATAAGCAAAAGAAGAAAGGTAAGGTTGGACCTACTCCTACACCTCTGAAGCCTAAAGGTGGAGGTCATATGAAGCCAAAGGTTGCAAAGGATGTTTGCCTCTACTGCAAAGAGAAGGGGCATTGGAAGAGAGATTGTGAGCTGTATAAGGCTAATCTAGCCAAAGCACCGGGTGCTTCAAGCTCAGGTATTTTTATCATTAAATAAATATGTCTATAACTAACTCTCATTGTTAAAGTATTAGATACAACTTATGGCTTACACATTTGTAAAAATGTGCAGAAGCCTGAGAAGCAGTGTAGCAGTTGGACTGGGTAAAATTGACCTACGCGTGAAGGCTGGAGCAAAAGTTGCTGCTGAACGTGATAGGATCTTATAGTTTAGATTTCCCCGGTGGTTTTAGATTAGAATTAAATAATTGTTATTTTATTCCTTCTATTACCAAGAAGATTATTTCCATTCATATGTTAGACATTAAAAGATTTCTATTTCCATTTTGCTAATAATAATTGTTATTTTCATAAAATGGTGTTGTTGTGGAAATGCTTTTCTTATGAATGGTTAATTATCAATCGACATATTAGATATTAAATGAATAAAATAAAAGGATCTCGATTAAGTAATCAGAAAAATTACTACCTATCTATGACATTGCAAACTTGGTCAAATTAATGAAACAAGAATAGCAACGCTAAATAAATTAGATTATTTAACACCTTTTGACTTTGAGTCATATGGAACTTGTGAATCTTGTCTTTCAAGTAAATTGACTAATAAACCTTTTCTAGGAAAAAGGATAGCAAGCCAAAGAGTACTTAAGAAAAGTTTCTGATTTATTTAAAAGATCGAAGAATTCGATCATAATGAACTCCTCCAGAACACCTCAGAAGTGTGACGTTCTGCAAGGAGAAATAGGGCCTTGTTAGACATAGCTAGATCTATGATGAATTCATTTTCTCTTCCAAACATTCTTTTGAGGGTACACGCTATAAATCTCAATATACATTCTGAATAGTTTGATTAGTGCAAATGTACTATATGAGTTATAGTATAATAAAAGACATTTTCTTCACATATTAAATATGGGTTGCCCTACATATGTAAAGAAATGTGCATTAATCAAATTGAAAGCTTAAGTAACATAGAGAATGAAGATTTGTTAGATGGTCTGACGAAGGATTCAGTGGGAGAATTGACTTGAAGAATGTCTCTAGGAGGATATCCTTCAGCTAGTGGGAGTAATATAGGAATCACCTCGCACCAGCAAGTGATTCTTATTAAAGATAAGATGACATGGTTGTCATTCCTTCTGCACCCACTTCGCTTTCTCTGGAAACACTTAAAAGCGTAGCACAAGAAAACTCTCTAAGCATTGGATAGTCCAATAAAAGAGAACCTCTTCACGATCAGAATGAACAGCATGAACAAAACGCAAAACATTCAACTCTGCGGGTCGACTAGGATTCATCATGAACTAACTAGGTTAGGCTTCCTCATGGAGGATCATGATGATGTTAAGATTCCTGATACGGATGAACCTGAGAAGCAATATTAGATGTTGATTCATGGAGGTGGCGAGAAGCCATAAAATCTAAAATGGACTCGATGTGTATCAATCAAGTATGGAACTTGGTTGACTTGCCTGTTGGGTTAGACCCATTGGATGCAAAATGATTTTTAAGGAGAAAATTAATGCTGAAGGCAAGGTGAGAACATACAAAGCTAGGCTAGTGGCTAAAGTCAAAGAAAAGGAATTGACTATAGTGATACCTATTCACCAGTTGCAAAACTCAAGTCCATTTTGATTTTGCTTGTTATAGCTGCATAATATGATTATAAGATTTGACAAATGGATGTCAAAACCCCTTTCCTTAATGGAAACCTCGAGGAGGAGGTGTACATGGTACAACCTGAAGTTTTTTTTTTATCCAAGTCAAATTCTAAATCACTATGTTAATTAGAGAAATCTATTTATGGGCTAAAACAAGCCTCTAGGAGTTGAAATATTAATTTTGATGAAATAGTCAAATCGTTTGACTTCATCAAATGAAATGAGGGTGCTTGCGTGTTTAGAGTGCGCAACAAGGATAGCGTGGTCTTTTTATTCATATATGTTGATCATAGAGAATGATATACCCTCATTGAAGTCAGTGAAAGAATGGTCACCCAAAATCTTCATGAATATCTTTTGTCTATGGTAGACAGAAAGAACTAGTAGAATTTAACTATTCTAGCACTAGTTTCATGTATGATAAGAAAGACTACAAGTCATAGTCAGTATATGTTTTTAGTCTCAATGTGATAGTAATGCTGCAGGAGTTGCAAGTAAGAAACTATTGTAAATTCGACAACTAGAGCCTAGTAAATTGTTGCATTTGATGCAACATAGGTAAGCGTTTAGATACGTTAGTTCCTTAAAGAAATAGGGGTAGTTCCTAGCGACAGTTATCCAATAATTGTTATTGTGACTGTACCGGTGCATTTGCACAAGCCAAGGAACCAAGATGCAAAATAAGGAACTAGAAAATACCAGTATGCTATCGTGTTTTGATAACAAATAGCAAGATGAGAAGTTGCAATAGAATGCCTTCCCGTAGAGGACAATTTGGCTCACCCATTCACCAAACCTTTGAGATGCGAGAAACATACTAGACTTTTAAGAGACTAGATGTTAGACGCATCGGTGATTGGCACTAGGCCAAGTGGGAGATTGTTGGTATATATGTCCTAGCGACAATCACCTTTTAGAGATATATGTACTTGATCACATTCAGTTTTATATATTTGATATATACGGTATTACACATTGATGATTAAGTATTTCGATTGTCAATATCTTATTCATAATTGTGTTCCCTTGGACTTATGTTGTCAATAAGTAAGTGGGAGCTTATATGATATAACATAAAGTCCTAAAATAGCCCCAATCAATGATCATCAAGAAAGGGATATTGATGATATGCGATAAGATTGGTATGTGGACTGCATCATACTTTTAGAAAGTATAGTTGATCTCACAACTATGAGTTCCTGTAATTCATGATGGTCACATAAATATTTTAGAGAATATTGGCATACCCACCGAGAAACCATTTGATAAGTTCTATTCATGTGTCTATGGAATTATCGGCGTATAGAGTAGTGTAATAGTCCTCCGACTTGAGGTCAATACGTACTACATGTGCGGAGTGATGTACTTTGACCATGACCAATGCTTGCACTCCAGTCGGGGTAGATACGGCATGCGTTGGGTGCATCACGAAGCACATGGAGTAGTGGTTGAGCCAAGAAAGGATTCATTCCTCGTAATAGATTAAGAGAGAACATTCTACTTCTCATATCTAGATGGATCATAAAGTTATTGGCCAATGCAAAGATATATTCGTTTTGGATATCGAATATGATCATTATGGATCATCTAGAAAGATTGAGAGATAGAGACTAAGTTATTGGAATAGACACAATATCAAGTTCTAGACTTAGTTGAATGTTCGCTGAATGAAAGGACCGTATCACTAAGAGCTCTATATTACAGGGAGTTTGAATAGTCCTCGCAAACGTCCTTATATATTAAGATTGTCTGGTAAATCGTCTAGGGATTCTACTAAGACCTTAATTCGATTAGTGCTTAATATATAAGGCCCTATGGGTCACACAACAAGTGATTATACCTTCCGATTGAATTGTTAGAAGGAATTAAATATTATTAATTGGATTAAATAATATTTAATTAGTAATACTGAAAATGGATTAAATATTAATTAAATTAAACATATTTAATTCATGAAGTTGAAGGAGAGTTCTATTTGATAGAATTAATTAAGTGGAATAAATTGGATTTATTGTACTTAATTAAGATGTATTTTTAATTAAATAAAGTTGGTACTTTTCTTTATAATTTAGGATTAAAAGAAAAGAGAAAATAAAAATAAATAATGATCATGAGTAAAAGTGGCGTCCAAGCCCACTTTACTCTTATTGTTGGTTATTTTTGTTTTGTTTAATTAATTGAATCATTAATAAGGAGTATTGGTCCTGTTAGGATTAGAACTCATTAATGAAGAACACTTTCATTGTGATTGGGAAACTAGTTTAGAACTAGTATAAATACACCATCCTCCTTCATAATTAAGAGACCAGTTTTCAGATTCAGTATTACCAGTCTATTTCCCTGCGAAGAGATTTCCTAGCCTTTCTCTTAGGGAGATCTAACCGTTCTTTCAGAAAGGAGAAATCACGTGGATACCAAAGGTCAAGGATTATCATCGCTAGGCTGGAAGATCTGTAAGTTCTAACTCAGATCTGTTATTATTATCATATTCGTTATTTTGTCATAATCAGGGAAGATCTGTTTGGGAAAATTTTAAACTTCCGCTGCCGTACTTTCGAGGTACGTTACATCAATTTCCTAACAGTGGTATCAGAGCCAAACTGATTCTAATGACATTATACGAATTTTTATTGATATTTTCGTGGGTATTGTGTATACGATTTTCAGAATATGCAATGGCCCTAGTTTTAATTTTAGAAATTTCGTAATTGTTGTTTTCGAAACAAACTTGAAAATCTGATTTTGATCGAGATTAATGTTGTCAAGTTTCTCAACTACGTAGCCTGGCCGCAGTTAATTACCGAGTGGAAGAATTTTTTGTTTTTTGTTTTGGAATTTCTTCCATATTAAATTAGATGGTTTTATTTTAAGAATAAAATCAATGTTAAAATTGAAATTAATGAGAATAGTCGTAAAAGGCAGGTCATAGTTCTCCCTTTACTGTGTTGCAAAGTTTTTTTGAGAAATTAATATGTGGAAGAACTAAGATTGGATACGTTTCAATCTGCCCTGGTTTTATTTCTCGTTCTTTGTTAATTGAATTGAACGATTGACGATGGCGGATGATTTCAACGGCGATAACTGCCTTCGGAGGAGCTGCTTCCGGCGAGTTCCACGACGAATTTGATTTTCCGTTGCATCTGTGAACGCCTCTTCCATCAAAGAAGAGAGAGAGAACAACTCAGATTCGCAAGTAGCTGAATTTCATCCGACGGATTAGGAGGATCTTGTGCGGTCGCGTGGCTGCATCCGTGAATCCTGCTATACGTTTCCCCTATTTTGAGGACATGTTCTGGGTCCGTTTTTGAGAAATAGACCAAGTGAATAATTATAATTACGTATTAAAATTAATCTTGTTTTAACTATTGTTAATTATCTTTGTGATTTAGATGGATTACTTTTAATCGTTAATTGTATTATTATTGGCATGCTTTTACTTTAATGTTTGACTATTACAAGTTTGAATTAGATTCGGATTGCATGCTTTAAATTATCTGTCTGAGTTAAATCTCATCAACATATTATTTGATAGTATGTTTTAAGCATCTTGATTAAGTTTATTTAATATCCCGCTAAACGTTCCCCATAAATTAAAATTTAAGTTTTATCTGGGATAATGACATCACCCATCATAATTAAATTAGTAGAAATATTTTTTCGTTGAAGAATATTTCACCCAAGTGTTTATTCCATTCGACAAAATATAGAACTAATTTATAGGTACAATTGTTTGTGATCGTGTGATGGTTTTGACTTACCTAAATTAGCTCGAGTCGCCCAAGCGTCAGTGTTAATTTAGGGATGTCGATCAATTAAAAATTGATCAACCAAGAATTGCTTGGACGCAATTGGTCTAGGGACCTACCCATTATATTATTGCAGTGATCAGCCCAAGCTGGGACTGTAATAGTATGAATGTGGATCTTGGCCACTATGATTGTGAAAACAATCCATATTCTTTTTATTGGGGTCAAAGAGCATGTAAAAATAGTGGGAGCTAAATAATTAAAAGTCCATATTATTTAGTTAACTAGAAGTGATCATAGGAATTAATATATGATTTTAATTTCGTTCTATTTGAACTTCTTTAGGCTTTTAGGTATGTCGAATTTATGATTGAGAAGTATCCTGGATACATGCAAGCTTACTGGACCAAACTTTCTTGACTGGGAAAGAAATGTGCGTTTAGTTCTTAGACAAGAAAATATTGAGTATGTGTTAGACACACCGATACCCAAGATTCCTGATGCCAACTCTCCTGAGTTTGTCACGTTTGACCTGACTGCTCGAGAGAAACACGTCACTGATGCTAAAACTGTGCAATGTGTTATGTTGGCTGCAATGTCTATGGAGTTGCAAAGGCAACACGATAGGATGAGCGCCTTCGAGATGCTTGAACACTTGAAAAGTCTGTTTGATTCAGAAAGTCAGACTCTAGAGTATGAACTTCTGACAGACATTTTCAAGTGTAGGCTTCAAGAGGGTGGCAACGTGTCTGAGCACGTCCTCAAAATGATTGGCTTAATTGAAAGAGTTGCTACCACCGGAGTTAAGTTTGAGGATCGTGTCTCAGCTGCTATCATCCTATATTCGCTTCCGAGTTCATTTACTAACTTCATTGTGAATTATAATTTGAACAAAACGAAAGCGACCATGCCTGAACTCCATAACATGCTCAAGTCTTATGAAGCCTCAACCTCTAAAGGAAAGACTGTTCTTATGGTAAGCTCTAATGCTAAATCTCGTTCTAAGAACAAGAATAAGCAAAAGAAGAAAGGTAAGGTTGGACCTACTCCTACACCTCTGAAGCCTAAAGGTGGAGGTCATATGAAGCCAAAGGTTGCAAAGGATGTTTGCCTCTACTGCAAAGAGAAGGGGCATTGGAAGAGAGATTGTGAGCTGTATAAGGCTAATCTAGCCAAAGCACCGGGTGCTTCAAGCTCAGGTATTTTTATCATTAAATAAATATGTCTATAACTAACTCTCATTGTTAAAGTATTAGATACAACTTATGGCTTACACATTTGTAAAAATGTGCAGAAGCCTGAGAAGCAGTGTAGCAGTTGGACTGGGTAAAATTGACCTACGCGTGAAGGCTGGAGCAAAAGTTGCTGCTGAACGTGATAGGATCTTATAGTTTAGATTTCCCCGGTGGTTTTAGATTAGAATTAAATAATTGTTATTTTATTCCTTCTATTACCAAGAAGATTATTTCCATTCATATGT